AAAATGTTGCCTCTCTTTGTCTTTTGCTCTTTTTCGGTGCTGCCAGTGCACCACTGCACCACTTCAGCAGCAGCAGCAGCCGCAGCGGCAACTGCTACAGAATTACAGCAATCACAGCAGCCATTTCATTGTCAAGGCACAGCTGAGGGAAAGCCGAACCAAAGGCGTTAATTGTCAAATTGTGTAATCTCTGTGGCTACAGCTGTGTGGTGGGGCAGGGTGTGAGTGCCACTGCCACTGCCACTGCCATTGCCAAATGGGGCTTACAGTTAACCGTTACACATACAAATTGCTGCCAGTTAACCGCAAACGCCACTCGCTCGCTGATTATTTACTTTATTGAAATTACCGCAGACACCAACACGTCTCACCTGCCGTCGCCCTCACCTGCACTGCCAACACACGCCGCCGGCCACCGGCCTGACCTTGTCGCAGGAAGTGGAAAATTGTACGGCTGATAAAAATCGTATTGAGCTGCCTGCGCTTCCGTCAGACGAGCGCAGAAGAAGCATTTGATTCTTGGCCAATTCACACGCCAACATTCCAAATTCTCGATGCCCGAATGCTTGGCTCTCATTAAATTGAAATCAAGTGCAATGAGCAGCTCCAACTCCAACTCCAAGTACAGCCGGGCAGACAAATGGCTCTGGCTGGCTAAATCTGGTCAATGGCCTCAGGCCAAACAAAATGTGTGGCTCGCGTGGGTTGAATCAAAACAAACTAAGTGGCTCTTTAAGAGTTATAAATGTGTTTTTTCTTCTTCTTTCAACTCTGTATGTGTGTGTGTGTGTGTGTGTGTAGGTTCATAACTCTGGGGTCTGTCTCCAAGTCATGGTCAATTTATCATACGAAGTTTTGATTTGAGCGCTTCAGAGCCACATCAAACTTTTTAGATATATATTTCTTTTGACAAATTGATGTACGACTGGAGCGTCTTTGGTGGGCCGAAACGAAAGTCGTTGCCTCTCAGCTGGCAGCCAAATCAAAATTTATGGCCAAAATCAGCATATGGCACACGGCACGGCCATGGATGGATGGACATGGTTTGGGCGGACTCCTAATTGTGTCACTGTCGAAAGTTGGTCAGCAGAACGAAAAAGCAGAGGGAAAGAAAAATCCGCATGAGAGTCGTGTGTGGACACGGATTTATCCTGTTGACTCTCACACGCAGCGGCATCGTGTGGGCCGCTTAACCCGCAAGTTCGTGATCTCTAACTCGCGTACTTGTTCTTCAAGTGGCTATGAAATTCCACAGCTACGCAGTGAGCACACACACACACACACACACAGAGACATACACATGGCTCTTCAGCTGCTTAGCCACATCTCCATATCGGTCAATGGTCAGCGGCTGTTTGGCCCGTTGTTTGGCCCAGGCAAATAAGCCAGGCAACTACTACGTCAAGTTCGACTATAAAGCATGGCTATTGGTATGCGGCTATGCTACAGGTACAGAGGTACAGCCGTGGCAATAAGTATATGCGCAGGTAGAGACAGCCTCTGCCTGCTACAGCTTGTTTGCATACGAAATATTTACGATTTCAAGCCGCCACGCCCATCGTGCAGCAAGTGCCGCATTGGCTTATGGGGTGCTTATCAAGCACCTGATAAGACGCCCCAGCTTGGCCCCTTGACATTGAACCTGGTCGGATGGTGTGTGTAGCTGGCCAAAATGTTAATTATATGCTGACGGGCCAACAGCAAAAATCTTGATTAAATCCGTTGCCGTTGCGGCAGCGGCTGATGAGGCTGATGATGCTGCCGTTGGCATGTGGCTGATATCATCAGCGAGCGTTCATGCAATTAATACTTGAGCATAATGATGTTTTGGCTCGGCCTAAGCCTCTCCAGAAAGCTCTGGCCGTCGTCAATAGTTATGCCCGACGCTTGGCTTGGCCAAAATGCCAGCTAATACAAGCTAATTAAGCGCGCCAAGTGGCAATAAAATCCCAAAATGCCATTTGACTTCCGCAACTCACGAGTTTAGTTAGCCATAAACAGGTGATTTTTATGCGCAATAAACAGAATGAATAACAACAACCTATATTAAGTATAGGAAGATCCAGCTGGAAGCGCACTAATGCCTTTGTAATTGGTTATAAATTAAGCAATCAGTTAAGCATCATCAAAACATATACAAAGAATATGCTTAGATACGAGTTTTTCTCTCTGTGCCATTTAATCTCCGGCTACGCTGGCAACCTGATGTAGAACTTTGAACACAGCATATAAGCAGGCCCCGGCGGACAAATGTCGAGTCTTCAATTAGACCCATAGCCGATTCAAGGGTTCGAGTCTCATGCTCACTGACTGTGACTTATCACTTTTGTCCGTCACATACTATAAATAAGTCCGAGTACTTTCATTGGTGTCAATTGCCCAGCCTCCAGGTCCAGCTGGGGATTCGACAAATAGATGCCAAAACAAGAAGAGAAGACAATCAACACCTGTTTCTCGCAGCCATGAGAAAAAAAAATGGAAATAACGCTTTACTGACTGTGGAATACTGAATACCCTCACCTCTATATGACAGCAGCTGGGCTACACACTTCCTCGCTGAACTGAAATACCCCATGCAAAGCAAAGGAACTGAGGCGCGGAATTGATTGATGAAAACGCCCCGCGAAAAAAAAGTCAAAAGGCAACGCGCTAAGGCGAGAGCCGAGCTGAGTTTTGGGTCTGAAAATTGCCGTCTGCTTTTTGTGGCTTATAAAATAATGATTATGTGTTGGGGCTACCGGAGCTGCTGACAGACGACGACGATGACGATGACGACGCCGACAAGCGGTGGATCTGCCACTGCCACAGTGACTGCGCCGATGCGCTGTTGTTGGTCCATTAACTTGGCCAGCCCAGTTGGTGCGACCAATCGAGCGAGACGGCGATCGACCTTGAGCTTGAATTAAAACTTGAACTTGGCTGCTTAAAAATTGCATAAGACGCTCGCGGTTGACTGCGTCTGCGACTTAACTGTAAAGTAAAGCACTTGGCTAAGACACGATATGTTACCAGAAAGTCTTAGCTCAACACTGAACACCGAAAACAATTGCCAATTGGCAGTAGACAATTGGCATTTGACTGGTCTTTGGTCATGACGCAAAATTCCACTTGTTGTGAAGTATTTGTGCATGTTTCGACTTTTTGCCGATTTGCGCATATTAATCATGGCTGTACGAAGCGATCGAGTGGCCGAGATATTGAATTCTATGGATGGCTGTACAGGCGGGCGCTTGTCGATGGCTAAATGAGATACAAATGTATCTCACAGATACGCACAAGTGTTGAGTCATGAGCCTGGTGTTATGTACTATGTAGTCATGTGTGTATTATTATAATGGAACAATTCAATTACCAGACCATGCTGTGAAATTCTTGTAAAGCCCAGCGCTGAGCTGCTGCTTCGCGCCCGCAGATCGCAGTTCTCTTGTCTCCGTTCCCTGCCAGCTCTGTAAGTTCATCAAACTCAAGTGTTGGACTCCACGGGCAGCGTTTAGGTCCATTGAGCTGTTTTGTTTGCTTGTTAGTGTAACAGATTTGTGTGCATGTGTGTGTGTGTGTGTGTGTGTGTGCGTGCGTGTAGCACACAATACTCATAAGTGGGTGAGAAAAGTGCGAGAAGAGGCACACAGATCTGGCTATAATCAGTTCTCGACTCACACGCTCCGAGTTCTCTTTCAGCCATTCAGAAAACATCATCGAAAATGTTCTAAGCTGCGTTTTTTCTTGTTTGCCCTCCCCCTAGTTTTCTTCTTTATTTTCTTTTTTGATAGTTTTCCATATTGCAGCACCTCAGTGTAAGGCTTGTGGCATGTGCTAATGAAAATTCCAAGAAGTCAACGCTGTATCGAGCATTTGAGCGGTGCTAAATGTGGGTCAACAAGACAGTCTGCCTGACTGACTGACTGATGGACTCGGACTCCGACTACGTCTACGTCTGCGACTCCAACTCCGACACCGACTCGGACTCGGACGCGCTTTCGGACTATCGTTGCGACTGGGCCAAATCAGTTGAGAGGCAGCTGCATTTGTTGCCTGTTTATTGAATGCCCATTAAAGAGTGCCACAGCTCTGCGGCTGGAATTTAGTTTTAAGGTTTTGGTTATGGGCCTTTGGTTTTCGTTGACGTCGCACTGTGTTTGCATGTGATTACTGCGCCGGCAGTGCAAGCAGCACTGCTGACCGATATTCTGCAGACATGAGAAATGGTATGTCTCTTAACCATTTTTGGGTTTATTTGCCATAAAGTTTTGTTCAAGTCAGTCGTTAAATTTTACATAGACAAGTTCCCTGCTCCCCACTCGTCCGTCGTCCGTCGTCCAATGGGCCGTTTTATAGGCTGCACCTTTGAGCGATGGGGGAATGTGAAAGTTAACACCTCGTTCCAGCAGATGCATCCAAAATAATCGTGCAGCCCACCCATCTGCCGAGCGTGGCCATTAGCAGTGGACTTTATTTATGGCAAGGGTCGAAATTTATTTTAGTATCTGTTGCTATTCTCATGTATCTGCATGTGTTGCACACCCTCCCGTTGCACGGTCAATGCCATTTCGCCTCAATTTCAATTTCAATTTAAATGGCAGCGCATGACTCAATTGAATTTTGGACACCCTCACGCATTTCGCATGCGAAATAATAAATTGAATTCTCTTCTCGCTCGCGTTAAATGCAACGCCGACGGGACAGACGGGACAGACGGGACAGACGGGACAGACGGGGCAAGCGAGGCAGAATGGCCACTCCTGACCCCGGACAAGTGCGAGTCGTGGCAGCTGTGGCCAGCTGATGGTAATTTGTCACAGGATCGCACCGCCACATGCCAACTGCTTTAATTAGCCCGACTTGTACCAAAAACATCGGAGTGCAGTGTGTGCGAATTTATGGCCAAAATAATCAGTATAGACAGCGCATATGCGCGCATCTCCCGCAACGGGGAGTGCTGCTGTGGGTTCAGATACTTAGCGGCCTAACTGTAATTTATGTTGACATAATAAACCACTTACCGGCTAGCGTTAACGCTGGCAGCACCAACAGCAGCACGGCCAGAGACATCAGCTCCTCGAGTCCCAGCGGACTCGATCGTTTTCTTGTCATCGTTTTGCTTGTGTGTGTAGCTGCAATGGAGGAGGGAAACGAAATGTACTTTAGTATTGTGTGGCATGATTTTCAACAAAACGAATTGATCCATTAGACCTTTGACACTCGCCCGTTTAACCCTTCAGCGGCCAGCAGCCAGCAGCCAGCAGCCAGCATTGAAAGACAGATGTAAAACCGCACACAACAATCAAATCGAGCCACAATATGTTTCTTAAACGACGGCACTTCATTAAAAAAGCATGACAGGGCACATGTCCTTATGTCGGTTCACATATTTTTTTCTTTCTTTCGCTTTTTTTTTTGTATTTTGGTATTTTGTTGTTCAAATTTTTCAATAGCCTCAACTGCTCGACAAAAGCAATTTACGTGCACAAACAGCAAAAGAATTTCTGGGTGGGTTGGGTGACTGTTGACAGTGAGCTGCCACCGACAGCACCACCACCACCACCACCACCAGCACTACCGTCCGAGCTCGGTGAGAATCGCATTGGACAGGCATCCCTCAACCGTGTGTGTGTGTGTGTGTGCGTGTAGGTGGATGGAGGGCAGATTCTGACTGGCTGTTTTTCTTCAATTGTTTGCGGAAATCACTTGTTTGCTGATTTGACAGATGTGCAATTTTCCTTGACATGGCTCGCAGGCTCACAATTATTGCCCACAATCCCCTAACAGCAAAAAAAAAAAAAAAACCAAAAGAATGAAAGAAATACGGTTCGACTACGTTGTCATGTTGCGGCCGTGTACTCCAAATGTGAATATAGTTTTGTGAAGTTGTTGCGTCCTGATTGAAAATGTCAGCCACACGCCAAAGACGAGAAAAACAAGAAAACTTTCAGGTTCCATCCTGGCTCGCCCTGGACCAAGTTATAATTAGCTGGGGCAGACAACTGTCCGCATCTAATGCAGTATATACTTATGTACTTAAGGGCACATAATGCCATAAAAGGCAACAACACCGATGGGGAGTGGGAGGGAAATGTCTTCATTTCATATTTTCGTTTATTAGCCAAGTTTTTTATTTGCTTTTATGTGCCTTTAATCAAGTCCCTGGAGATGCAACACGTGAGTGCGATATCATTTCCAGCGAAGTGGGGGTGGATACGCCCAGACGTGTCACATTGGGGTGGTCTGACACTGCCATGGAGGCGTGGCCGTAGGTGGGCGTGCATGCGTAACTTATACAATTTCATACATTTCAAGAAGCTAATAAAAATAACGGCCGTGCACCATGGGACGACTGCGTGAGGCACTCTCTGGCTTGGATTTGAGCAAACTTTATCGATAGCCACGCTCATATACATTATCGAGTGCCAGCCCGAGGCAAGAAAGCAATTGTAAATGATTTATCGATAGATTTGAAATGCTGACATCAATTTGCAGACACCGTGTAGAGCGTGTGTGTGTGTGTGTGCCGGGGGGTCACAATGACCCCAACGGCTGTGCTGGCTGCTCTTCTTTCGAAATTCGAGTGGTGTCGGTTACACCCCGCACCCATTGTCGTGGTAGCGTGGTAGGTAGAATGGGAGGCAGTGTCGTTTGCTCGCTAACGAAACAAGCAAATAAAATGAGCTAATGCCAGGCAGAGCGCGGCTCATCATAAATGCGCGAAATGTGCTCATTAAAATGCAGGGAAACGGCACAGCGCCCCTACTCCTCCTCCTGCTTACTTGCAGCATGCCCCCTGAGTGCGCCAAGTCGAAGTCAGAGTTGGAGTCTAAGTCTCGGTCCCCGGGAGCCACAAATTGCATTGCTGCGTGCTGTGGCAAACGACAATGTTAAAAGCAACAGCAACAGCAGCAGCAACAACAACAACAACAACATTAGAGAAGAAGAGTCTACAGAACAAGGTGTATGCAACACACGAAACCCGCCTCGACCAACTTGAAAGATTGCTCCGCCGAGATGCAGCCTCGGCTTTAGCTGCGGCATTTTGATGACGAGTTGACATGACGAGCGACAATAACAATAATGATAATCTCACACGGGCACAATGATTATCACAATGATGATGATGATGATGATGATGGTGATGGTGATGGTGGACTGCTGTTGCTGCTGCAGGCCTACCACTGACAACGGAAGCGACACAAACTGGCTATTAGTTGTTGGCCAAAATGGCACTTGTTCTAAAGCTATTAGCAACACACGAACAGGCCAGCAACATGTGCCTGCCAACTGGCAACTTGTTGCGGTAATTATTCTGCCATTTGTTGCAGATGCTGTGTGTTGTTGTTGCTGTTGTTGCTGCTGTAGTTAGATGCTGTTGCTAAATGGTAAACAATTTCAGCAGCCGCTTTCAGTATTTGGGTTAAGACCAAATAAAGGGGTGGTCAGCAGCCAGCAGCCAGCTGCTGGCCGAGTGTGTGACACAAATTCAATTTGTGAATGAAGCAGCCGAAACTGAACGCTTTCCACACAAATGCTCAGGCATGCAACTAGCTAACTTTTACCCCAAGCCAGTTGCCCAAAACAAGTGGCAGAGGGAATTCCCCGAAAGGAGGGGTAGACCCACACACACACACACACACACACACATATACTCACACACAACGAATGTCGGTCATGGGAACTTTGCGAAAAGGCTCGAACAAGTCGAAGCCTAGCTAGGGCCCATGGCAATGTATCATCATCAGCTGCAGCCTCTTGACCAACAATGGGACGCCGCTGATATGCGTTATGAAAAATGCATGCTGGCTTCTAACTCAATGCCACCAACACGAGGCGGTGGCTCATGCGTGAACAGACGACCGACAGTGGACGGCCAGCACAAATGCAAATATTTGCACAGCCGCCCGACATGGTGGGCCGGCCCGTGGTGGAAGGCAGCGGCGACTCCTCCTGGAGCCGCACAAAGGGTAAGCACTTGACAGGCAACTGTTTAAGGTTGAAAAATTACAGAGGCTTAAAGTGAATGCAAGTGAGTGTGCGTGTGTGTGTGTGCGAATGCACCGCACTGTCTGTGGCAGCTCCATTGTGATTGTGCTGATTGGGAGCATGCGTGGCCAGCTGAGCAGCCAGCTGCCTCAGCCGCCTCTCCGCCGTGGCGTGCCACAAAGTGTGCCCCCAGCTGCAGCACACACTAATATAAATGTATCGCCAGAGATGGAGCTCTGGAAATTTACATTTTACAAAGGCAACTCGCAGTGAGTCGCGGCCTCAATGGAGGGTGGGAAAATTTCACATGAGCAACATTTTGACAGTCGGCAAAGGGAGAGGCGAGCACTGGGGCAATAGGCAGCCGAGCAGCGGATCTAGCGAAATGCATCGTTAGCATATGCATCAAAAGGTGTCTCTTGTCAGAGGAGCAGCTGTCGACTGTCTGCATTTTGAGATTTGTACCATGACCCACAAATATACTTTGGCGCACGCATCTAACGACGACCCAGCTAGCTAGCCAGCTAGCTGCACAGATGACTGGCTGAATGGCAATTTGCAACTGCAACTGCAACTGTGTTGCTGCTATGCGGCTTTAATTGGATTCTGCTGTGCTATCAAATTGACATTTAGCACACAAGACCGAAACCGATCTTCGTGCCTGCTGCTCCATACGCTCCATACCGATCGATGTTCGTTCACTTGGCTGACCTAACCTCATGCGTTCACTGGGATGCTCGATGGATGGAGCGGCGCACAGGGGAGGCTAGAGCGAAGAGTCATGCAATCTGAGTCGCTATCCGCATCTCAGTTGCCAATTGCAATTGCTGGCTTATCGCATTACACTTTGATTGCTGTTGTTGCTGCTGCTGCTTGGCGTTAATTTGGTTTTGTGTTCTCGGACAGCCATTTAACGGTGAGGCGGCGCAATTGCAAATTGCATTTCTGCCAATGCCAATTGGCCGCCTTTGCCTTGTTGGTCACGTCAAAGTCAATTGTCATAAATCTGCAATTGCCGCGGGGCCCTCACACCTTGCGTGTGTGTTTGTGCTTGGAGTAACGCAATAAATGCGCATAGTTTTGTCCAATTGCTGGCCAAATTGTTTGTGGCTTGAACTGAAAGAACTCTGCGCTGCGGCCCTCCTGGCCGCAGGAATGTTTTTGGCGAGAGCCGAACGTTAGATTTACATATCTGTGTGCAATTGCTAAAGGAAATGGAAAAGTTGTGCCACAGAGGTTTCTGTCCAATCAACAAGCTTGAACCAAGTTCATGAAGTTGGCCTTACAAATGATCGACCTTGCAGCCGTAGCAGCAGCAGCAGCAGCAGCAGCAGCAGCTGTGGCAGCAGCCAATTGAGTCGAAGGAGTTGTCTCTCTTTTGGCTTTGTGCAGAAAATTAATAAAGCTTTGGACGCCGTTGCGCACGATCCACAAACATAACGGTCTCTAGTGGCAAAGCCAGGGCAGGCAAACAAGCGAACAAACAATCGCGCCAAATGTAAGCTATGTCTCTGCTGCCTCGCCGCCTTCGTCTCCATCTCCATCTCCATCACCGTCTCCGTCTCCGTCGTCTTCTCTCAATCTCGGCCTGAGTCACTTGTCAGCTAGCCGTGGCGACGATGGCGACAATGCGGAAGCTGTTGCTGCGGCTCAAGCTGCCTGGCACGACAACAGCACGAGCAGCGTGCCCGATGCCGCCAACGCCAAAGACCAACAGCAGCAGCAGCAATAGCAGCAATAGCAACAGCAACAACAACAACAACTAGAACTTCAGCTGCAGCTCGTAGGCAATTTGCCATTTTGGCTTTGCTTGGCCAACACTTGAACTGGATTAGTTGGCTGCTTGCTTTGATTTGTGACAAATCTTGATGCAAGCTACCGTGTGCTCGCCTGCAGCATGCAACAGCCACGCCATATGTGGACGTGGATGCTGTTGCTGCGGCTGCTGGTGTTGGGTCAGTTGGCAGATCGTGAGCTGATTTTGTGTTGACTTCATTTTTTTTTTTTTTTTTATTCTGTTTCGCTTTTTTTTTTGTATGCAGCTCGCCACAAATTTCTCTTTTTCTTGGGGTCAAGTTTGTTGCCAGGCAGAAGCGTTCTAATTTCACTCACTCGCTCAGCGCTGCAGCTGCAGTCACTTAAT